GAGGTCTGATGAGTCAGATTCAGCTAATGAAGAACTAATAAATGAAATAGGATTACAATTAAAAAATATAGACTTAGAAGAATTACAAATAAGTATAATGATGAATATTTCACAAGAATGTACCCATGAGTTTGAAAGAAATAAAGGAATAGATAGTAACCAATGTATTCTATGTAGATGGTATCCAAGCAGAGAAAAAAGGGCAAAATGTAAGTTTTGCTCTGCTGAAGGATGTATAACATGCATAGAAAATTTATTAAAAATAAAAGTAAAAGAAGGACGTGAAAATAGAGATATAAGTAACGATACAATAAACTTACGAATAATAACATTAGAAAGCAGGATAAATGAACTAGAACAAAAGGTAATGCTGTTAGAAAAAGGAAAACCAAAACTTGAGGAAAATAGGACGGAATCAGTACAAAAAATAGAAGAATGGGGGATGTGTAAAACATCTGCCCAAGAAGCAGAATTAATGAATATAGATAATATGGTAAATCACTATGAGAATTTAATATGTAATGAAGATAAAAAATTCACTACTATTAAAGTATTAGCTAAACTAAGAATACAAGATATTGAGTTAGAAACCTTAGCATTGGTAGACACAGGATGTACAGGTAGTATAATAAACAAAAAGATTTTACCACAAAAATTAATAAGAACCTTAGACAAGTCAATTGCTGCAATGCAAATGGATGGAACGTATAATACCTACCAACATTATATAGGAAAGACTCAGGTAAGTTTTATCAATACATGTAAAGAATTTTATAAACCAATGTACACACTTGATAGGATATGGGTACGAGACCTTAAAATAAATGTAGATTTTGTATTAGGATTAAAATTTATGATACAAAATAATGGAGCAACATTAATTACAAGAGATGGGGTAATAATCTTTAAACATCTGACATATACACTAGTACAAACTATGAAATTTGAAACAAAAGGAAGACACTCTAATATATCTCCAAACACTTCCGAAGAAGATAGCCTACAGATATGTTGTAAAGACTGCAAAAATAAAAGCCAATGTTGCAAAGAACAAGGATTTAAGGAACAATACGAGGAAGAAGAAGAATATGATATCAGAGAAAAAGATTATACTTTAATAGAAGTGGAAAATGAATTCTATAATTTTCAAACAGGAATTGATAGGATAGGTACAATTAGAAGTCCTAAAGACTTAGACAATATAGTAAAAATATTAGACGAAATGGAAATAATAGGAGAAAAACCTTTAAAATATTGGGGAAAATAATAAGGTAGTATGTAAATTAGATATCATAAATCCTGAATATATAATAAAAACAGCTGCTATTGAAGCAACTAATCAAGACTTAGAGGATTTTGGTATACAGATAAAAGAATTATTAAACTTAGGAGTAATAGGAAGATCTACTTCAAACCATAGGTCAGCAGCATTCATGGTAAGAAATCATAGTGAGATAGTACGAGGTAAAGCAAGAATGGTAATTAACTACAAAAGACTTAATGATAACACTAGAACAGATGCATATAAATTACCCGATAAAAATGAATTAATCAATCGAATCCAAGGAAAAAGGGTATTTAGTAAATTCGATTGTAAATCAGGATATTGACAGATAAAAATGCATAACGAAAGCATAGAATGGACAGCATTCACTTGCCCTGAAAGACATTTTGAATGGTTAGCTATGCCATTTGGGCTAAAGACTGCACCGCCAATATTTCAAAGAAAAATGGATACTATATTTGGAGATTATAAAAGGTTTGTCTTAGTATATGTAGATGATATCTTAGTTTTTAGTAAAGACATTAAAGATCATTTAGGACATCTACAGACGGTATTTCGCTTATTTGTAAAAAAATGGAATAATAGTAAGTAAAAAGAAAATGGAATTATGTAAGAACCATATAAATTTTTTAGGAGTAACATTAGGAGAAGGCAAAATTAAATTACAACCACATATAGCAACAAAAGTATTAGAGATGCCTGATAAATTAGACAATACAAAAGATTTACAAAAATTTCTAGGATTAGTAAATTATGCTAGAAATTTTATTAAAGACTTAGGAAGACTAGCAGGACCATTATACTCAAAAACAGGTAGCAAAGGGCAAAAACATTTTAATATGGAAGGCATTAAATTAGTGCAACAGATTAAAGAAAAAGTTAAAAATATTCCAGAACTAAGTATACCGCTAGAAACAGATTATCTAATAATTGAAACAGATGGCAGTTTCCAAGGATGGGGAGCTGTGTTAAAAGCCAGACCAAATAAATATAGTGATAAGACGGAAGAAAAGATTTGTGCCTATCAAAGTGGAAAATATAAGGAGAAAGGAAATATGAGCAATATAGATGCAGAAGTTTTAGCAATAATATACAGTCTTAATAGTTTTAAGTTATACGTTTTAAATAAAAATGAAATATTAGTACAGATTGACTGCGAAGCCATAGTTAAATTTCATCAAAAGATAAATCAAAAAGCTAGTAGCAAGAGATGATGGCTATATTTTATGGATACTATATCTATTTATCCAAATGCTATCTTTGAATATATAAGAGGAAAAGATAACAGTCTAGCCGATCAGTTAAGTAGACTAAATATTAAAATAACTTAACTATACATTTGTTTTCAGCATGAGACCAACCGGTTCAATAGACAAAGGCAAAGGAGTAGCCTCAGCATCAGACACATACGCTCAGACTCTATTAGGTAATATGAAGTTTAGACCTCAGACAACATCAATAGAAATGATGGACCGTATGTATTTCGGTAAGCATAATTTAATTTGTTACCCAAATTCAAATTTATCTTTTAGAGAACTGCCAGAATGTGTGTTAGAGTGTTAGACAAAACCTCAGAAATGCTTAGCAGACAATTTATGGATGGCATATAATAAGAAAGATAATAAATATTTTATAGCCTCATTAAATGCTTTATGTCAATACTTTACAGACAAAAGCAGAGAGAACAAATTTAAATATTATGTGGTAATACATGGTAAGACTAATGGTATTTTTCTAACTTGGATAGAAGTACTAGACTCTATAAACAGAGTTAAAACTCCTCTTTTTAAAGGTTTTAATGATTTCACTGAAGCATTAGATTATGCAAGAGGGATACTTGGTCCAAATTACTATATCTCTCCAGCCCTCAGACAAAACCCACAAAAGACCCCCAATACAATATCCAAAAAGACACAGACAAGATAATCTTTTGTGACCATTGTTCTTCAATGACCGAGGCCTTCAAAAGATTAAATGTGTATATATATATATATATAAATTAAAGTTGTATTTATTTTTCATTGTTCAGTAAAGAAGCATCAAATAATATTATTATCTCATAAACATTTTATATAATCTAGATAAATATTATAGAATAAAAATGGGAGGGTACGTAGGTGTATAGGCCAGGTGGTGCGGCTATTTTCGCTTCTATTGAAAAAAAGGAAAAATTACTTAAATACATATCTTATTTTACTATAATCTCTAAAATTCCCTACCATTTAAAAATATTTCAAAAATCCCCTTTCGGATACATCACTCTCCTCTCGCTGATATATCCCTATCCCCCTCCTGGATACATCCCTCCCCTCTCGGATACATCTCTCACTATTATGTGAATGTCTTTCAAGAATAAAATTATTATTCTTTACAAAAGAATTTAAGATGCATACAATTGGATTTTTTGCCAATTTTAACATGTGTTTCCATGCATAAATGAAAGTAAAATTAAAGGGTATTAAAATGAGTTTTGTTTAGATTTATTTATTGTTTTGACAATTGATAATGAAACTTATATTTTCAAATTTTGAGTTTATTTGGAATAGATTGGGTGTTGAAATTTGAATAACAAAATTATTATTATTTTGGCAAAAGAATTTCAGATGCACACGACTAAATTTTTTTAGCCAAATTTAACTTTTGTTTCAGTCATTATTGTTATCTCCTGTATTTATATTAGCAAATCAGAAATAATAAAAGATGAAAAGAAAAACACAAAGAACTATCCGAGTCCACAGAACCCACTGTGTTTCCTTAAGAAATTTAATCCCCTCAAGCACCCGAGGTTGCAGATTAATTCCTCCCAAGATAAAACGGATTAACCATTAAAGAAGTAGCGGTACCTCAAACTTCGAGAATTTCAACGAACTCAAAATGACAGCAACAAATCACACACACAAACACGATCGATCGATTTTGTTTTGTAAGAAATGTATGCAAAAAAGGGAAGAATTCGATGCAGAAAAATGAGAGAAAGCCTCTCTATTTATAGCCAACAAAGGGTAAAGGTCACAACCCTTTGGAAAGAAGACAACATTTCAGAAAGGTCACAACACTTTGGAAAAGACACAACCTTCAAATGGTCACAACCCTTCGGCATAGTCACAACTCTTCAGGAGAGTCACAACCCTCATTTCCTGTTCACACCTTTAAAACCCAACAATATTTGTTTGAATTATGGCGCATTATATTCATCGGGATACAAAAATGATGGATGAGATGAAACAATTTTCGCAAGTATCAGCCGATGTTAGATTCATATTTGAAGAAGCTTATGCAGATCCAGAATTTCCATGACTTTGCTTATTGCTTCTTCAAAGTTCATATTTGCTCCTTGTAATGAACCTTGTCTTTTTCAATGGGCAGTGCAAGTAATGTATATTTTAGTATTTAATATTTCAAGTCGTGCAATTCAAATTGTTTTTGTTGCCCCTCGGATTTGGCATTTGGTTTCATATCATTAGGCTCCTTTGAACGGAAGTTTTCAATTCACGTATTGCAGATTCACATTGGTACATATCATAATCAACTGATATTTCGAACAACTTAATTTCCATGGTAGTTTCAAATGTTATTCAAAAACATTGATGATCTTAACTGTTTACTTGATTATCTGTTGCCCGAAATTAGAAGAGCTTGATTAAAAGGGTGATTGAATATGGTTTCTTCAGCTTAACTTGCCTAACGTTAATCAGAGTGCAATGTTGTGGATCCTATGACTAATTCAGAAGATGTATCAAAAGTAGGAGATTTTGATTACACTTGTAACATTCCAGGTGAGTTTTAGCATGCATTTTCAATTCTCTTAGATCAGGTGACCGAAAAAGTTGTTCTCTTATTTGTTGTCGCTTGCTCTGTGTCAAAGAGCAGAGTCGCGATTCCTTTGATATTTCTTCAGTTTGATGACTTGTTCTCGGCCATAGTCCCATTCCCTTTGATAATCTATCAACTCCCTCTCTAGTTAGGCCTTTTATAAGTGGATCCGACACATTATCCTTTGACCTTACATAGTCAATTATGATAATTCCACTAGAGAATAGTTCTCTAACGATATTTACAGTGTATGCATACTGGAGCTAAAAGGTTTGGGCAAACAATCTTTCAAGAAATTTTGGAGTTATTCAACTTCTTCACTGGCCTTATCTAGAGTGATAAACTCAGATTTCATAGTAGAGCGAACGATACATCTCTTTGGAAGATTTCCAAGAGACTGCTCCTCCACTAAGAGTAAATACA